TGGGGTGGGTGGGTGTAGGAAGTGTCAGGAAAGAAGGGGTGCGAGCTGGAGTCTGCTACTGAACCGAGCCTGATTTTCTGGGATAACAGGGTTTTTAGGCAATAAAGATGTCTAAAGAAACTAAGTTTTCTAACGTAGTTGAGATGCTAAGTCTTATTTTATAGGGCGTGTCATCTTCCCCTCGCATCTGAAAGATGCCTGCCTAGGCGAGTTATGCTGGAGTTTGGTTGCTGTCCCCATGCACCAGACGCCATGGGTCACGTACTCTGTGGGTCACGAATTAATGTTTCCAGCATTCCAGGTTAGCTGGTTTTTCTGTGGCTGTGGAGACGGAGGAGAGTTTTCACTGGGACTAGTAACCCACTGCCTCTGCGCTGAAGATGGGTGATGAGATAGGCAGATGTGGAGAGCCACTGAAGGACTGGATTCTCTGCTAAGACATCCTCTAAGCATTGTAGGTTTTGCAGACTGGATCCAATGCCTTACTGGCTTTGATTCAGCTCTGCAAGGGGTAAAGAAAAAAAACCCAACCAACTCCGAAAATGCTTCTGTGGTGGCCTGCCCATGGCAGGAGGGTTGGAACTAGATGATCTTTTCCAACCCAAACCATTCTGTGATTCTGCGATCTGATAGTTTTTCTGAAGCAGATTCCATTAGCATAGAAATCTGCTATAAATCTGCCAGGTTAGTGCCCTGCTACTGAGTGAATGTGGGCGATCTCTATACATGAAATTAGTCATCTTCAAAACCACAAGCTACTTAAGAAAATGAATTGTTTATGAACATCTAATCCAAACCTTGTTATCTCAGTGTTGCCTGATAACTCGGGAATGCACCAAGGGGCAGACAGTTTGCCTTTCTGCAGTGGCTGAGGGTGCTTAGTTACCTTTCTTCCCTTTTCCCCTCTGGCAGAATTTCTTTGCTTGTGTGCATCTCTCTCTTCTCTTCCCGTGTTCAGGACCTTACGCTATTTTGTCCCCAAAGAATCAGCCATGCAACACCTGTCCAAGAATTCCATGTCCAGAAGTCCTGAGTGCATTAGACTGGGGGTCGGATAGTGGAAGCTTTCTTATTATTTGGGGCCTGGTGGGCTGATGTGATAGGAAAAGCGCTTCAGATCACTTTCCTTGCATCCTTTTCTTTTGGACCAATGGGGACACGATATTCAACAAACTTCATGCACGTCTGTGTGTTGAGGGACTTGCATTTCCCCTTCTGCGTCGCCAGTAATGTCTGTAATTCCGAGGCTGACTTGCTGCTGTTGAGTCTGCACGTAATGGAGGTAATGGGCTTAGAGAAGTGACTCTTCTGTCTTCCTCCGCCCCACCCCTTCACCAAGCGAAATACTTCCTTTTTTTCCTCGAGCACTGAAATAACAAGAGAAGGGAAACCGAGCTGTGTGGCAGCTGCAGAGCTTCATCAGTATTACTTGAAGAGGAAATTTATTTTACCTAACCAGAGAACTTCCTGTGTTGGCTGTGTGCGCTTCTGAAGATGTAGAAATTACGTGTAAGGCTGTGTGCATGTGGCAGCATTTCCTCGTGTGTGTGACTTACAAAGGTTGTTCACAGGGAGATGTTGACTTCTGACTTTTGCATCTTTAGCTCAGGGATGTTCAAATGTGTGTTCTGCCCTAAAAGTCAAGATTCAGCAAGTTTGCAAACATTTTAATAAGCACTTGTAGAACCTTCTGTGGTCTAGTCTTTCCAGAATCAAAACAGATTTGCTGTGTACCCTGCCCTGTGACCCTGGAGCACCGACAAATCCAAGGTGGCTCTTTGATTAAAAAAAATAATTTAAAAGCAGCTTTACAAGGCTTTTAAAAATCCAGTGATGTGATAGGGCCTGGGAAAGAGCTTCTGGATCATCTTCTAAAAGTCTGGTATCCTTTTCTGCCCAGTGAGGATTACCCGTGTATGGTGGCAGAGTGTTTTTTGAACGGATTACAGCAGTTCTGAGGGGCAGCAGGGAGAGACCTACAGAGCATTCAGGCTTTTCTGACAAGAAAAATCACTTGGTTGAAGCACATGCAACCTGATTTGTATTTTGCTAAGTTAACATGCTTTTCCAGGCTCGTTTCTTTGTCTCCTTCCCCGCTGTGTGTACTAACAGTGGCAACGCTGGTTTGTTACCTGCCAGTGGTCCTTTTTAAAGCTGACTTCACACCCAGCTCTTCACTAGCAGATGCAGATGAGGTGCTTCAGAAAAATAAGAGATATGCGTGGCCTTTGCCTTTATCCTGAATTCTTCTTTCCGGTTATCTGAATGTAGATCAGAGAAAGTGCAACATTGACCAGAGATGTACTTGAGCAACATTTTAACGATCTAAAAGGGACCTTAAAGAAGCTGTTGGATGAGCGACTGCTGTCACTGCTGCAGGAAGTGGATGCTATAGAACAAGACAGCATCAAACCTTTGGATGAATGCCAGAAGCTAATAGAGCACGGAGTCAGTACAGCCAATGATCTGCTCCGGGAAGGTAAGGCAGGACCTGGTACTAAGTCTTGGCTCTACCTTCTGGTGTGTCTTCTCTTGATCAGATATTTGGCTCACTTTGGGCTGCTCTCAAACCAGATGTTAAGAAAAGGTTAAAGTTGGGTAGCTGTAGTGAAGAGCCGATTGATATTTTTTCCTACAAATCCATATTTAAATATTTCACTCCAATCCTAAGGAGTACCTCTGTCAGTGTAGCCTCTCCGTAGGGGCAGGAAGTACCTGCTTTGGAAATGTCTCATTGCAGAGGCGTCCTGCACCCCTCCATGCTAGAAAGAGGATTATGTCAGACTACTTTGAAATAAAATACACCTCGGGTACCGTAGTAACAAACATCTCTGTTGGCTGAAGGAAGTTATTTGTGTCTTAGTGGAGTGGCAGCTGAAGTAAACAGATTATCTTTCCTGCCAAGTGTGGTTGTGCTCACTGTTGATGGGGAACATGAAGAATGAAATGGGCATTGTGTGGGAAAAATTTCTCCAAAAAGTCTGAGGATGAGGCAGACAAAAGTGGACACTTGGAATACACTGTAAGGGCCAGTTTGTACCCTAGTGATGCTAAATACCTAGCCAGAAAGGAATGTCACTCTTGACTGTTTTCCCCTCACTGGAGAACCTACTGGGAGCATGTCTGAGCCGTGAGTATGTTGGCAGTTTCCTTGCATTGTTCCCATGTCTCAACTTTAGCTTTCTTTCAACATGATCTCAGTTTTGTGAACTGAAGTGCAGTGGGCAGTCTCCCACGGGTAGGAAATCTTGCAGCTTCCACTCAGACGTGACCTTGGCGCTTGAAGAACGTGCTGCCTTGGTAGCTGCCTGCCTCCTGCTCACAGGAGCGGTCACAGTATTTAAGAATTAATTTGTTGGGGTATGTTTTTTTCTGGCACCACAGCCTCTGGGACAGCTGGTAGTCACCTTGTTTTAAGTCTCAAGTTACTGAATCACAGGGTGGTGGCAAAGATTGCCTGTGTTTTGTACAAGTTTCTGTCAGCTCTCATGAGAACCTGACTGGCTGTGTGCTTCCTATCCTGGGGGTAATTCCCTCTGTAGCAGCAGCAGAGTTGCTAAGTCATGTTGTCAAGACGTGACTTAGGTAACATGCTTTTCCAGGCTAGTTTCTTTGCATCAGAGTCAGAAAGGAGTTAAGCCTCCGTGGTTATTAAATCTCCTGCTGCCAATTATGACGTCTGCTTTTCTTTAGAGATTTGTAACGTTTGGAAAAGGGCTGAGCTTGCTTATGTTCTAAATTATGATAAAGTCATCAGATAGGAGAATGGAGCATACATCTCTGTAAGCTGAAGTGTGGGGCACTACTTTATATGGAAAGCTTGTGAGGAGATTTCTATTTATCTCCATGCTGTAATGCATGGATTATTTCCTTCACTGTGACAGTAGTTACCATTTACATCGTAGCAAACAGAACAGTGCTTGAAATTTATTTTTTAAACACCTGCTTTTTTATTTTCTGCCCAGTGAAGGTGCTTTGCTGCTTTTCTTCCTTTAAAGCAGGTGGAGGAAGGGATTAATAATCCTGATTGCTGGCATCTGACCCCAGTTCTGCTACTGTCTGAGACCTGAGGCAAATTATTACGTCTGTTATGGGTGTGTCTCCAGGAAGCTTTGGGAGCTTCAAAAGTTGCTAGATAGGCTTTATATTTTTAACTATGACTGTATTTTCTAGCTAAGAGTCTAGTAAAAGTGCTGAGAACGCTTCATGTTTAATGGGTTGTTCGTGTCAGGACTGGTTGTTCTTTGCTGCAAAGAATGCTTTTCTTGGACATTTTCTCATTAGGAATATTTTTACCATTTGATTCCAGGAGAGAGTGCAGTCCATGGAGATGTGGGACAACAGAATGAGAAACTTTGCAGCTTTACAAAAAAAGCTTTACATATTCAGCTAGATAGGTAAGATCCCGACACGCTGAGGTGATCTGAGGCAGCGGCACACTTGCTCTTCCCGGGCAGGGGATCCTTTCTCCTTTGAAACACAAGCCTTCTGCTCCGTTGCCGTACGAGATTCCTGTGAGGTGCTACTGTCCTGTTTGTTTCATAGCCTTTCGTTGGGGCTGGCAGTCACAGAATCAAGTAGTTTTCAACCTCCGTGTGTTCTGTAGAAATACAGGCTGTTCATTTGTGAATGATGAAACTGCTCCTTGTGGAACAGCCTGTTTTTCAGAGTATTTACTGAGAAACAGTCTGGTTAGGGCTAAAACACAATGTTTTCTGAGTCTTTTAAGTTTGAAATGCACATGCCAATTTCTGCAGCAAGCATTCTCCCTGCAAGTCTGCACAGTCAAGCGTATGGACAAAATCTGTAGAAGCTGGCCCCTTTCATTACAGCAAAGTTTCCTTTCTCAGCTTACCAGAAGTGCCCTCCTTGGTTGATGTGCCTTGTTTATCTGCCCAGTTGGATGACTGCCTTCTTACTATATTGAAAAATCAAATATTCAGACATGGAACTGTGGCATCTCGCCCACCTGTACAGCTAGAGGAATTTGTTGAGAAGCCTGGAGGTATTTTAGTCCGATGGTGTAAGGTAGGTAAAACATCCTGGGTGAAAATAATTCAGACTTCAGTTTTCTCAAAAGAAACTGGAAAAGCCACTTTCCTTGTGGATTCTTCACAGCCTTCAAAGGAGTAGTCCACTCCAGTGTGTAGTTAGAAGCTTTAGAAGAGGTTTTTATGGCAATGGCCTTGTTTAAAGGCAAGGTAACCTGGTGATGTTGTGGTTGCTGCTGGGGTTTGTGCCTGCCTGGCAGTGACACCTGTGTGCTAGACTCGCTCTTGGACTGTATGTGCTCCCATCTGCGGGTAGGAAAGGCCAACACGCTAATGCACCTTTAACCCAGGATCTCCTTCCCTGTGTGTGGAAAAGTCAGGAGGGGCAGCTGAAAATCCTGCTGCCCCTGCTTCCCCCGTGTAAGCACGTGCCAGGTACTGGACAAGCAGGAAACACCTCCTTCATGTAGTCTTCCCACTAAACAAATCAATAGGAGAGTGTAATCTATCTGTGATGCAAACGAGACTAAGAAATCCTGGTGTGTGTTTCTGGCAGAGCTGATTCGCACGCAGCCCCTTGTGCCGCAGAACCGACTGGTTCGTTTGTACGGCAGCAACAGCTGAACACTCCCAGCGAGACCCAACCTCACTGCTGGCGTCATGCTGTTGTTCCCTTTGAAGATGCTTTAGCAAGCCCAGGGTGAGGCTGAGGCTGGGCTGTTATGCTTTTACACCTCACCATGTTTGTGTTCTTGGGGAGATGCAGCGGGTAGAAAAAGAAAATATTTTAATACGGGCATTAGCTAGTCAATCAGCCTTTCTCTTCAGCACACAAAAACTGTTTTTGAGTAAATCACTGCTGTGCTCTGATGTGGTTTTGTTGTTGTTGGATGGCTCTACGCTCCTTGGCAGCGTTACACAAACTGACATTGTTCTAGCAACAGGCAGCCGTCGGTCAGCCATCCTTACCTTGCAAAGGATGTGGCTTCAGATGATAAAACCTTAGGGGCTGTTGTCACGTGTGGTCTGGTTTTCTGTGCTGTTGAGTTCCCTGAATTTGGTCATCCTTGAGGGATAGTGGAACTTCTGTGGGTGGAAAAAAATAAACTACCCTAGTATGTGCTGCTTTGAGGCAAAAGAAAAACAAGAGAGGGCCCTTTATTGATGTAATAAATGTTTCTCTAGGTGGATGATGACTTCGTACCACAAGATTACAGGCTGCAGTATCGTAAGAGTACTGCCAGTCACTTTGAAGATGTATACGTCGGCTCTGAGACAGAGTTCATAGTGCTGCATATTGATCCTGATGTTGATTACCAGTTCAGAGTCTGTGCCCGCGGAGACGGACGGCAAGAGTGGAGCCCCTGGAGCGTTCCTCAGATCGGCCGTACCACGCTGGTTCCCCATGGTACTGTTCCTCGCTCTTCATCCTAAACGCGTGTCGTCGCTGCTGCACTCCTGAAGGCCTGCAGCTGAATAACCTGGGGAGCTGCTGTCTGCACGATGGTGGGGTGTCCTTAGCTGCGGTGTGTGTGCAGCGCATGACGAGCTATCCTTTCACCCCAGAATTGTCCTTTGCTTTGCAGTGCGAGTGAGAGAGGGTGAGCCTTTCCAGCAGGAAGCTCACTGCTTAGCTTTGGAAAGCAACAGTGAGCCAGAAATGGGGCATTTTCCTTCTTTGCCCCTCACCCCAACTGAGCGTTGTTTGATGACCTACAGTCACATAAGAAGCTTTTGTCTTGGAGACAAACCTAGATTTTCTCTTCACTTGCAAATTTTTAAGGGCGGTGGGTCACGAGGGTTTTCCTTTGCCTACAATACGACTTCACAGGGATCACAGCAAAGAGTGAAATTCTGGTGAAGCCTGTGAGCTGGGAAATACTTCTTGTAATTGCAAATGATTTGATAAAGAAATCTCTCCATCCGAAGGCAGCACCAGGCCCTGTTCTTAACATAGCTTCAGCTTGATATGAGGTGAACCAGGTGGGCGTTGCGAGTGACTTAGTTTTGCACAGGCAATAGCTGGTCTAGGTGAGGTTCATGCTGCTTTTTTGTTTTGTTTCTTTTCTCTGAAGAATGGACAGCTGGCTTGGAGGGTTACAGCTTGAGCAGTCGAAGAAACATAGCGCTTCGAAATGATTCTGAGTCATGCGGTGTGCTCTACTCCAAAGCTCCGACTTACTTCTGTGGGCAGACATTAACATTCAGGCAAGTACTTTCTGGGTGGCTGTTGTCTGGTGCATCTCCTGGGAACCAGGCTTCCTCCTCTAGCCCATTGGAGCTGACTTGTACGTAAACCTGGTCACGATGGGGTTTTCCATCAGCTCAGCCCTGGGCAAGGTGGTGTGTCTGTGTGCAGTCTGGGCTTCCTTCTCTTCACTTCTACTTCCTGGCTCTTGAGGAAAACTCCTGCTGTTTTTGTAGGACCTGCACCTATCTAAAACAGAGACAAGAGCGAACTCCTGGGAGGTGGTAAAATATAGCCCAGGCCAAGCAAATCTGTGGAATGTTGAACTTCTTCCAGTTTTGTAGCAGCTGTTGGTGGCTGCTCAGAAGCTGTCACAGCTCGACGTTGACTCTTTAAGCTTGGGTCAGTGGGTTTTTTCTGTCCCAGACTACCCATATGCTTTGGTGACTTTGGGTATGAAAACATAAGCGCGGCTGGACAGGTAAGGATGACGGTCTGGCATGATGTCTTTAACATCTGGGATAATTAGTGGTGATCAGAACACTGCTCAAAACTGGCGTTAGAAACTCGTGAGTGGAAGAGGGATCTTGTGAGATTCAAGCTTTCCACTTGACGCAGAACGTGATTAAAAACCTCGGCAGCTTTGCTGCCTGGAGTCCTATCCCTGAGATGATGCTGTTTAACGGGGTGTGAGGAATGTCCTTGTGGGTATGTCACTTGTAATTACAGACCTCAGACTGAAGCTTTATTCCATCTTCCCCGGGTTAAATAAAACGACGTGCTGTGCAGTAGGCAACCCCCAAAGGCAATTTAAAGGGGTCGTTCATATGTTTCATTTCTGCTTCCTGATAATGAATTATCTTAACTTTCAGTGGTTGTAGTATGAGGATGTGTTCAGCTGCCCAGTCTGAGATGGGATAAAAAGGTCTAAAGCTTTCATTTGAAGCCTGTTGCTAGATTTAACATCTCTTGGCTCAGAAATGCCTGTGAAATGAAAGGCAGGACTTTGAGGTTTCCCTTGGTTCTCTATCAGACCAATGCCTTTTATCTTTTTTTATTGGTAACACATGGAAATCTTTTGCTTTACATTTTGGTAACGTGCACGCCTCTCCAAGAAGAGATTGTTTCAGGATGGCAGAGCACTAACAAGCACATGTCCAAAGAGCTGTAAGGACACGAATCTTAAGGTTGAAGACAACTTCAGAAATGGGTTGTGTTCCTCTTCCAAGGTCCAAGAGGAGCTTGTTGTTTGACAGTGTGTGACATTTTTCCTGAGCAGGGAGTCGTACGTGGCGCTTGGCTTCCTCCATCTGTTGGAACAACAGGGTGTTCGCATGGGGTGAGTGGCCAGCTGAGCAAAAGGCGGCGGCAGGGTTCACCTTACACTGTTCCCTCTGCCTGCGAGAGGAGGAAAGCCCTTGCCGTTGTCTCCGGCACTTGGGCTGTGCTTCCTCGTTACAGTGCAAGGAAGGCTTGGTCTTTCCCTGCTTGGCGCTAGCATGCAGCCCAGCCCTCTCCTGCAGCGAGGGCAGCCCTGGTTCTGGAAAGCCTGGATGTGACGAGCACAGACGTGCGTGATGAAAAATGCGGCCTCAGCGAGACCTGAACGTTCCGCTGAGCCTAGACTGACTCGTGGGTAAAGGCTCCTGCTCTGGGTCTTGCCGTCACTCCTCGCAGCGTATTCGCTGTCCCATGACTTGTCTGATGGATTTTTCTTGCTGCTGCTGGTTCAGGTTACCTTACCAGGGGTCTGTGGGAATGAGCGTGTGGATACAGGTGGACGTGCCAGAACTCCTACTGCTTGATGGGTTTATAATTCTGCAGTTTTGCACTGGAAACCAGTGTTTGTACAGCCACAAGAATGACCCAAACTGCAGAAAGGCTCCCTTAACGAGGGGTGGAATGAACTAACGTTACCTTATGCACAAAGTTTACAGATAAAGAGCCGCTTGTAAAGCGTCACCACTAACTGCCTGAGGTTAAAATCTGAAGTAGAGTCCCAAATTTGAAATCTCATTTGTAGCTGTTTTAGGAAAACATGATGGATCACTTCCAAATCAAAAGCTTCTTGGATACTGAATTTTTGGGGGGGGTTTTGCTTTGCTTTACAGTACAAGGCTTTTGCTGTCTTAGTGACCTTCCCAGGGGACTGAAAATCCTAATGGAGTGCAGAAGTAAAACATGGTTCCAATTTTACCTTCCCTGTTTGTCTTGAAAGCGTTAACCCGTTGCGTGCCAGGCTACTGCCCAGCTCAATTTCCAGTTCTTAGTAGGTTCTGCTGAAGTTTTTCTGTTGTTTGGCAACATCCACCTATCAGTGCTGTTCTCTCAAGCTGTAAGGAAAATAACCACTCTCTTGCTTTCTAGAGAAGCTTTCAGAGTCACTCAGGCTCTCGTTAAAGTATGATTTAGCACCTTTGAGGGATGGCAGTACTGGAGATACAGAAGAGCCCTCCAGTGTATGAGCTGTGCAGCCTCGCTCAGCTGCGAGGGCCCGAAGGGACCTGTGTCCCAGGTCCTTTGCACAGTTCATCTGCTGTATCTTCAGAGATTCTTTCCCAGGACCAAAATCCTAAATGCAGCTGAGCAGAAGCCAGACTGCAAATGCCCTTCTAGGCATTGTTTTTAATATCCATTTGCACCAAGCTGATTTATTTAAAAAAAAAAACAACACAAACAAAACACCCACACGCTCCCCCAAACCCAACAACCCACCATCGCCACAAACACATGGACCTTTTGCCCCCACCCCTTTACAGCAGAACGTAGCAGGGCTGAAACCCCCCGTTGTGGTCACACTTAGGAAGTACTTGCTGAAACCGCGGGCATCTTGCCCTGCCGCGCGGTGCTGACCGGTGATCTGGTATTGACGGTTGCAGTCGCTCGGTGGAGCCGTTGGGAAGCTGGTAGGACATTCAGCAGGGCAAGGTCATGCCACAGGCATCTCCCCAAAAGGTTGGATGACTTTGTTGGCAGCCCTGGAGCAGCGTAGGGAGGTCTGGTGTGGCAGGGTATTGCTGCCTGCGTTTCACTCTGTGTTTTGATTTAAAGCCTCAGGGTTTGACTTAACCTTTTTGCTCGGTAGAATTGAAACTGTGGGGCAGCCAGACAGACGGGACAGCCTGGGCGTGTGTGTGGAGCAGCAGAAGGGCTATGATTCTCTGCAGCGGGACAAAGCTGTGTGCGTTAGCACAAACGGTGAGTCGGAATCACATCGCTGAAGACTCTGACCTTCCCAAAACCCACAGTCTCTGGTTCTTTGTATCCCTGGATGGCATGTGAGTAACTGCCCCCACCTTTTATGTTTGTGCTGTTGGTGCAGTTAATATCTGGGGAGATCACGGGGCTCCTTTTTCTGCTTGCAGCCACTGCAACCTGTTTGATGTCACAGAAGGAACGTGTCAGGGTTGCTTTACATTTCTGTTCGCCTGCAAAAAAGTAGGGCAGCACAGTATTGCACGTTCGTACGTACAGAAAGCGAGAAATAACGTTTGCTGTCTTGCCTGTTTCAGGGGCAGTGTTTGTAAATGGAAAAGAGATGACAAACCAACTGCCTGCTATTACGTCCGGCTCCACAGTGACGTTTGACATGGAAGTTGTGCACTTAGGCCCTTCCAGCAACGAGGGAGGAAACTTCAAGCTTCGAGTAACCATTAGCTCCAACAACAGAGAGGTGGTCTTTGACTGGGTACTCGATCAGTGCTGTGTCTCTTTGTATTTTGGATGTTCTTTTTCATACCCAGGCTGGAAAGTTTTGGTGTTTTAGCAGTGAATGGAGTTTTTGTTCTTGCTATCAAGTGTAATGTCAGAACCTGGCTTTCCAGCTGTTTGACATCAACAATCTGTTAACAAAACCCTGTCTTTGTACTACTTGAACTCCACTATATTGTACTTCCTACTGGGTTAATTTCAAAAATAATTGTGAAAGATTGGATTTGTTACTCTGGAAAAAGTTAGAAACAGGCATTTGTGTAGGCAAATTAATTTAAGCAGTCCCTAAGACCTTTGCCTTTTTTTAGTCCAGACTTGATTGTTGTCAGTATTTCATTGTACTCTAGTCTCAGGGTACGTGTGTCGTCTAGAATTCACTTTGCTTAATGCTGCTGTTCTGTGAAATAAGCCTGTAAGCGTTCAGAGGGGGTGGTAATGGACCAAAGCTTTATTTATACCACCCGTAAAAGAGCAAAGTGTCGAGAGCGGTGATGTCCTGCTACGCTTCCTTGTGCACAATGCTGCCTTAAGAGGATGGACGGGTAGTGGGCTCTGCACGCAACAGCCCTTACTTCCATGGACGGTACTGTTCATCCCTCCAGAGCAAGGATGTCTGAGCCATGATGTCTGTGTGAAGAGGTCGCTAGCCTGTCGATGTCTCACTTACCTAAGTGCCTTATTCCCAGGTATTTCTTGAACTGTTTTCTGTGTTGTCACTTGGAATATATATTCTAGAGTAGTTGCATGGTGATGCTTACGTCAGCGTAATGCGGGTGCTTGCCTCAAAGGAGACCCAGACCTGGAGCAGGACAGCTATCCCATCCGTCAGCCTTCCCTGCTAATAGTTTAGCCCCTAGCCTCTGTCAGTGCTTCAGTGCTTAGGCGTGACACGTGGATGGCACCTGCCATTCCTCAGAGCCCTTCTAGGCCTTGTGGGACATCAGGAAGGTGGTCCTGTCCGAGAGACGAGGGAAGGGCTGTTCTGGGGCCCAGGATCCCTGGAAACTCCAGACCGCTGCCTGGGGACACCTTGCATTAACATGTAATAGCGCAGGTGTACGATCCGGGTGCTGGGTCCGACTGGGCCACCCAAGCAAGCTGGGGCTGCTGCTGGAGATCCAGCTGGGAGGTAGCGGAGAGGGGCTTGGGGCAGACCCTGCTGTCAGATTTAACCTGTGGCCGTCAGAATGGAGCAGATGGTGATAACTGAGCTCTCTCCTCCATGCAGTAGGATGGGATAAGAAATTATTATGAATTAATTGACTGAATTCAGAAGTTACATAAAGTTACCACTGTTTCCCCTAAGAAATCGTAGAGAACGGTTTGGGTTGGGAGGGATCCTGAAGATCATCTGGCGTGGGCAGGGACACCTTCCCCCAGACCAGGCTGCTTATGAGCAACGAAGATTGAGAAGCAGCTTCTCAAAGATCCTGGTCAAGAGATTGCAATATTACTGGATTTAAAGAGTATTCTAAAGTAATGCTCATGGAGGGCCTTTAAAGTGCCCTTCTTACCTCAAATTCAATTGAAGTTAGATATATGTTAGACTAGCAGTATTTTAGTAAAGCCAAGACAATCATTCTGCCCTTTTTCCTTCAGCGTCAACCCGCCCTACGCTGGCACCAAACGCTTATCGTACGTTGGAGTAACGTTGGCGTAATACCCGCCGTGCTCCTGGTGTCAGTACAGAAGGGTTAGTCCTCCTGCCCGCCTGTTTCCCCGGCGGACCCGCAGCAGGGGTGCGTGACTTCAGAAGAGAACGGCGGCTCACATTTATACCACTCACAGGAAAAACGTGCAGGTGGCAGAGTGAGGATGGAATTTAGTGTCAGGCGGCAGGGAAGACTGGATGCCGGCAGGTAGGATTGTTCAGCGTTAGTTACATTTGAAAAGCAACGCCGCGGGCTTTTTGTTGCTGTTTTGCTGTTAAGGAGAAAGAATACTGGCTTATCCCAGACCTTCAGCGTTTTTGACTTACCCGCTGAGGAGTATTTTCAGTACTCCCACACTGTGGTTCTGTTCCTGCAGGCAAGAAGGTTCAGAGGCCGACCCACCAGTATTTGTCCTGCTCACGGGGGGTCAGGCTGACCCCCCAACAAGCAGCCAGCTGCAGTCTTGCTTCACACAGTGCTGGTAGTTTTATTTACACGCGCCAGGTGTCTGGTACTCGTTGTATCTTAGTGCTTCTACCCTATGGAAACTGAAATAGTGAGGATCTACACGTGCGAGGTACCGCTGGGCCGGGTACCTTCTCATCTGCTTTGGGAGGGACCAGTCAGACTATTGATTCTGCAGGATACTCACTTGTGAATTACAAAATGAAGCTTTTGAGCCTTGAATTCAGGTACTTCCAGTGCTGGTAATGCCTCCTCAGTCAGGATGGCTGTGCAGGGCCGCGGGAGGCCCCTGTGCTCCCCTTCAGAGCTGAGGGTGGCAGTGCCAGAAACGGTTTCTGACTTCCGCTGCGTGTTGAGCGCGGGAGCTTGCCAGCGTCGGGTTAGGGCTTCGGTTGACGAGGCGGGTCGGTGTTCTTCACGTGAGCCCACTGTCCCAACCGCACGAGGTACCACCTTCAGTCACCTCTGAGAGCTGCACCTTTCAAACCTGGGAGGGGTGAAGAGGCTCAGGGCAAGAGACTGGAGTAACAAAGTGTGTGCATGATGGGGAGAGGCTGGAATGAAAACGGCTGAAATCCTGGTTTCCCACAGCCGAGTTCAGCTAGATGGGAAACTTGACGCTTCCTTCACAGATTTCACCTCCAGCCCTTGGAGCCCGGCAAGCAACAGCGTTAACCGCTTACGGAATTCAATCCTGAACGGTGTTTTCTTAAGCTAGTACAGTCACTTACCTCAACAGAGACCTGTGTCAAGTGAAGTTTGAATTTTTTTAAATAAAGGTTTATCCCTCAACGGTGTACGGCCTAGTAAATTATTCATTGGGCACAAGGCTGCGCACGGCCGCGTTCTCACGAGGCCGTAAGGAAACGCGTGGCAGCTCTGCAGCCATCTGTAAGAGCTTCTCCCCTTTTAAGTCACGTCCCTCAAGAGTCCCAAACCATTTTTTGTTCATGTTCCTCACTTATGCACCTTGTTTCCAGCTGCAGTTCGGACCTTGACTGCCACGTCTTGCAGAAATAGTAGTTTTCCTTACTTTCTAAAGGTCAGTCACAGCGCCTGTGAACTGCTTTCCTCCCTATTCCAGCAGAGCTGATCTGGCTCCATTTCATACCCTTCCCATCGCCTCACAGCTGCCCCAAGCTGTGCAGCTCTTACCCCTCGGCTTTTGGCCACCAGGGTAGTTAACCCCCTTCAGATAACCTGTTGGTTCATCCTGGATTCCAGTAGCTCTGCTTTACCTGCAGCCCGTTCCATTCCTTCCGTCTCTCTTGTGACTGGTGGGACCAGGGAAGGAGGCTGCAACGGGGTCGCTTTCCCTCCTAAATACACAAACGAGCTTCCTTGGTGCTACGTTAAGTACTTCCGAAGAGTACTTCAGCCTCAAATCAGCCACGTACAGGCAGCAGTGTCACAGAAGGACTCGCCTATTTCATCCAAAGCTCCTTTCCTCAGCTGCAAAACCCGACAGTGGCAGAGCGGGAACCAGGATCCAGTCCAGCAGGAACACCCTCCGTCCAGCGCCGGCACCGAA